GGACTTGCGGTTTTCAACAGAAGTTGAAAATATAACTTTTTACCAAAAATGACAAAAATATTCACCAAAATTAGAGAATTAAAGATATCATTACAAAATGAACAAATCTGAGAAAGGTCCACACGTTGTACACCTATATATGTAATATCAAAGCAATTGGACTTGCGGTTTTCAACAAGAAGTTGAAAATATAACTTTTTACCAAAAATGACAAAAATATTCACCAAAACTAGAGAATTAAAGATATCATTACAAAATGAACAAATCTGAGAGAGGTCCACATGTAGTACCTTTACGTGTAATATAAAAGCAATTGGACTTGCGGTTTTCAACAATAATTCGTAAATATCACTTTTTACCAAAAATGACAGAAATATTCACCAAAATTAGAGAATTGAAGATATCATCATGAAATGAACAAATCTAAGAGAGGTCTACTCAAGGTACGTATACACCAAGTATCGAAGCATTCAGGCTTGTAGTTTTCAAGAAGAAGTCGAAAAAGCAAAACATTGACACGAACGACGACGGACGCCGGACGCCGATGGACAATCACTCATATGATAAGCTCCGCTCGACAAAGTCGACAGCGAAGCTAAAAATGAAATCACAAAGTATGCTTCTTTCATTTACATCAAATGCAGAAAATGACTTAAAATAGAATCAGGTCCCTGAATGCAGTTTCTACTGGCACTTGGGATTTATATATCTCGCTAAATTATACATACATGTACTCAGTCAGTACAGGAGCATACATAGTGATATTCTCGTAATAACCTCATATTGGTGATAATTTGCTTTCGAAAGTGTTGACAACAGCCGTAATACTAAGGAGTAATATCATATCTATCCTAAAATATCATGTCAAAATTTTCCAACACAATGTCATGCAGTAGCACTAATTCCTCACAGCGGTTTGTAACCTTTTGGTTGGATTAAAAATGCCCCACACCCACTCACACTGTATCTGTTGCCATGTAATTTTATTTAAACATTTTCTAAATAAAACATTGTTTGCATGATGTGTTTAACAGAGTGCTCAAAAAAGTCTTTAAGGTAGAGATGCAGTTTAGGAAACCAAGTTGACCTCTCTTGTCCACAAAACTATATATTTTCGGAAAACTTATTGTATGAATTTTAAAATGTTGTTAATATTTATTTTTATGGGCACTGTAGTTTGAAATATGCAAAAAAATGTGCTTTTTTGGTCAAAAGTAATTTAAACAAAATTTGCTTCTAAACCATGGTTCTGTTTTCTGTCAAAATTGGTTTATGGGTACATCTGCTTACTATGAAGAAAGCGCCATCTTGAAAACTGTCTACCGGTTGTCAATTTTGCAGGGCAGCAGCTCAAATTTCACTACTTCAAGTTTATGCATAAATTAACACCCAGGCTAGTTGTCTGTGCGATTGTTGTAATACTGTTCAACCAAAAACAATTTCCCGACGGCGTTTTGAAGATAAACACATTATCAATCATTTGTGAAAATTTCAAAACAAAAGGTCAAAGCGTCTAGGAGCTATTTTCTTTTAAAGTTCTGGGATGTGCACTAAAAAGAAACTGAGATAATTGCTAATTTGCATAACAATTCACTCAGTAAGAAGTTTGATAACGCTCAAAATTAAAATGGCTGTAACAGTTCCAAATTTAAATGTATTATCGTTTTGTTTAAAGTTAAATACAGTGTATATTTTGGAGGTACCGTCATTTCTTTTTGTTACCATGTTTCTTTTTTATTATTTATGTACAGCATTGCTAAATCTTGCTAAGCATTCAAAAGAGAGAATGTTTGCACCTGTTATCTATATTTTAAAATCGGTTTTTGAGTATGTTCCACTATTCACAATTCTACAAAATTTTAACAGTCTTTAGCCAAGACTGTTTGGGTAATAAAAAGCAAAAAAAAAAAATTTCACTTCCAAGTGCCCACAAACCTGCATCTCTACCTTAAACATCAAAGTTAAATATTTTCCCAGCAATTTTAATCAATAAATGGGCTATATAATGTCACTTGATCAAAAGCGAGAAAGAAGTTTTTCAAAAATTAGATAAAAATGCGCAAATACAGCAACACTTACCTGGAGAATGAATTATCAAAGAGCAATGTGTAGAGACCACACTGTCTTGCCATCAATTCACCTTGTACAGCTTGTCGATGAGAATTACATCTACAAAGTGGTATTAAAACTTGACTATCTTCTAGTTTGGTTTCTTCAGTCTCTCTGTATGTAACACTGAATGATATATTCTGACAAGGCAAAACAGCAAGTTACTAATTATATCAATATTCAGATAAAATTAAAATAGTAATAAGTTCCATCAAATAAATGACAAAAACCCAAGCCCAAATTTTGATTATGTGATCTCCACATAGTGTTTTTGAGTTAAACAAACACGTACAATTGGAGTTCATAATTTGAAAAACTAGTTTGGGTACTTTAAATTTGTTTCTGTGGACTTTCAAACTTTTACAAAAAACTAATTTCATATGTAGTCACAAATTGCTGTGTCAAAAATGATTATAAAGCATCGCATTTGTCAAAACATATTTTTTGTCAAAATTAATGTATTTTGGATGCATGAACCTTATTACATAAAATATATTGTTGGTTTGCACAAAATTTGATTGGCATGACAACTTTTGTGCTTTAAATTTGATGTTAGCAAGACAATAATTATTTGCATAAATTACAACATTATTTTTGAGAAAAAATATTTAGATAGTAAATTTGAGAGTGGAATTGTTTCCAGTATTCAAAGTTATGTGGAGAAGTTTTATCTTTCCACCCTCCTATGTGCTGTATTTATTATATAATGAAGTGCTCAAAAACAGTGTATTTGCATGACTTTGTGCAATTAGTGATTATTAGTTGTTATACGTTACCATATAAATGTGATGAATCTTATGCCACATGCTTGTAACTAGACTAATCAGCTTGTTACATTAAAAGCAATTTCAAAAGCATTTAATTTCATGCATATTCATAAACATTGCAACAATCAGTTCTGTTGTTATTTTATATGATTACACAAATTTATTTAATTCAGGGAAACCACACCCACTACCAGGAATAATGAAAAGATATAGACCAAAAGAAAGAGGTAAACATTACCTTTGGCTCGGTGGTGAACTCCCAGCAAAGCGTTATTCCAGGTTTTTCAACTAATACAGGTACAACGTAACTTTTACCTGGTTTTATCCAGATCTCTTTGCTTTCGTTGGATGGATTCTCCAGTTGTTCCACTGACATGGTTAAGCTACTAGTCAAACTGCACGATACAAAGAATAATCAATTATAAGAAGCCATGCATGGCACAGTCCCTGTTAGTTATCAAATTTAAGATATTAGTTTTCTTTACAGTAATATATAGTAGTATAGTTTGAACATAAACATATCAGAGATATGGATCCAGAAGCTGATGCTTGATTACAATGATTTTTTAACATTTGAATGGTTCATTCAGTCATCTAGTATCTGGCCATCAAATTAGTACTTATCCATATTGTGAGATATTGCTCTGGAACAGAATTAATTAAAACAAGCCATGCATGGCACAGTTCCCGCTAGTTATCAAATTTAAGATATATAGTTTTGTTTATAGTAATATAGCTGGAATATAACCATGTCAGGAATATAATTTTTTTAACATTAAAATGATTGACATTTGTATCTGATCGTCAAACAAGTACTTGTCAATATTGAGAGATATTGCTCTGGAATAGCTTCAAAATCAGCCATTTTGAATACATGTATATATATACAACATGATGTATAACGAATATATAAAATTTGAATATAATCAGTCAAAGCATTTAAGAGATATGGCTCTAGAAGCCTAATCATTAAAACAAAATGGCTGCCAGTCAGCCATTTTGAATCCAATCTGAAAAATAAAATGACGTGCATCAGGAATCTGTAATGTCTAATGTACATTGTATGATATGAGTTTGAACAAAATCCATCTGTAAACAGCCGGGAAATGTTTGATTTTGATGACTTTTTAGCACAAAAATGGCCACCATTCGGCCATTTTTAATAGGATCGTCAAACCAATATATCTGTATATCTATGACATGATATTTAATGAATATTTAAAATTTGAACATAATCAGTCAAAGCAAGTCAGAGATATGGCACTAGAACCACATTCATTAAAACAAAATGGCTGCCAGTCGGCCATTTTGAATCTTATCTGAAAAACAAAATGATGTGCATTAAGGTCCTATAATGTGTAACGTATATGTCAATTTTGAACAAAATCCATCTGTAAACAGCCGAAAAATGCTTGATTTTGATGATTTTTAGCACAAAAATGGCCACCATCTTAGATCAGATTGTGAAACAAATTGACGTGCATATGTATAATATCATATATGATGTATGTGTGAAGTCTGATTGTGATTGGTCCAGGCATTTCTAAGATTCAGGTCCAGATGTACACATGCACGGACACACGGAGGTCAAAACATAAGTTCCCGTTTTCGGACTATGTCCGAATGGGGACTAACAAAATTGCTACCAGTCGGCTAGTTTGTACATCTGTACACTGTATATCTAATTTTAACATAATCAATCAAAGCATGTCAAACATATGGCATAGAACTGCACTGAATGGCCTGTCAGCCATTTTGAATCAGATTGTGAAACAAATTGATGTGCAATGTATAATGTTATGTATGATTTAGGCGAGGGTTCTCCGAACCCGCCTATTCACATAGTTCATACCCACCATAGACTCCGGTCAGTCAAAAA